CAGGTCTGCAGCCCCTTTTGGACTAAAGTATTAACTTGGAAATCGTAAAAATTTAAAACTTTTCAAACACTTTTATTTATCACAATAATATTTTTTCATAACATATACAGTACGGAGTATTCAACAATATTGCGGAAGCGAATTAAAAATTGACATATCATAATTCATTTCAAAACTTGTCACATCCATCCCGACAATCTCGCCTCATCTGCCACCAGGATCACATTGTTCTTTCTGTTTACCTGCGTGTAGCAATTAAAACATACTACACGCTCAGCGATAAAGCTGAGTAAGCATATCTAATGCGTCGAACATCCATATAAACTGAATCTAAATTCATAATCAAATCATTTGATATCATGCACACAATGTTCACTTCAGACATTCACAGTTTTGATATTATTCAGTTCTTATCAACATACTTTATTCAATTCAGTTATTATTTCGATAGTGCTCTTAAATCGTTCTTAATCTAAGGCCAAATCATAACAACGCTCTTAACTATTCTTAGTCTAAGGCCAGATCATAACAACGCTCTTAGCTATTCTTAGTCTAAGGCCAGATCATAACAACGCTCTTAGCTATTCTTAGTCTAAGGTGAGATCATAATTTCATTCTCAGACGCTTAAACTATAATTAGTTTAAGGCAAACATTTCTCAGACGCTTGACTATCCCCCATATCGTGATTAAGGAAATGAAACGACTCGGCCTTTGATTGATTTTTTCTATTCTTAAGTGCGTAAGTTACGTAATATATTGTCTACATGCCTATTATACATGTAATGTTCAATTTGTGTTTGTTCTCTTTTTCATTTTGTTTCAGGTTCTTGGCGGTGTTTCTTGGGTTACATTAGTTGGAGAAGTTGATTATCTTTAGAGCTTGTTTCCCTCATTTTATCAAAAAAAATCAAAAAAATAGGAAAAATAAAAAAACCAAAAAAATATTTACTTTTCATCCAACAACCCCCCCCTCGTGTTTTAAGTTATAATATAAGTTTTTTTACTAAGTTAAATTATAAGTGTTTTTTTATAAGTTATAAATATAACTTTTTTACTTTATTTACTTTTATATACTTAAGTATGTGTTTTATGTATCTAAGTTATATTATAAGTTCTTTGTTTATATAATTTATATTTATAATTTTTTATAATTATTTAGTTATAAGTTTTATTATAAGTTTTATATTCATCATCTTCAACCTCTAACCCATTTTTCTCAAGTTCCATTTTTGGTCACCAAACTTCAATTAAACTATATAGAAATGTTCTCCAAGGTTCGTAGATCATTTTAGAGGCATCAATTCGAAGTTTTAACAACAAATTCAAGGTTTATGATTCTTGGTTCTTCACATATGTCAAACACAAAACTCAACCAAACGACCATTTATGAACGTAGAAACGATCTATACGAACNTTATACAAATTACATATTTAAAATGTCATAACTGAACTTCTGTACATCAGATGTATTCATAAAATATACCGTTGGTTTCGTCTCTTCAAGACCTATCCATAAAAGTCAATCTTAACAAAAATTATTGACTCTAAAAATTCCTTCATTTTTGGTCAAACATAGAAATAATGCTTTGTTGAGTCAAAATATTGTTTCTAAAAATACTTTTATAATAGAATAACTTTTAGACTTTGTTTTGGGGCGTTACAGGTAGTTAAATAAACTTTGGATTCATACGTGATACTTTCTTGTGATTTGTGTTTGTTAATTTTAAGAATTTTGGACTTCTTAGCCTCATAAGATGATTCATTTTTCTTAGAATTCGTTATGGAGTGATTTTGTTATATTGTTGTTTGTTTGTCATTTTCATTAAGTTGAGGTCGTTTAAGCTCAAAAACAATTCTTAATTTATTGAAAATATGTTGTGTTCATTAATGTGAATAGAAAAAATGTCATTGGCTTGAGAAGTTCATGAAAATCTGTGAAATGTGCTCATCATTAGGAGAAAAAGTTTATTAAAATGCATAATGTATTGGCGATTTGTGAATAGATTATGTATGAGAGTTGAATGCATAATAGATTCTCTCTTTTATAGACTTTTTCTATAATGGAAGTATGTTTTCATGCTTGAATAGAGAGTTGGGGTTCTAAGGTATATTTAAAAACGAGCATTTGAATTACATGACTCCGGGCCGTGTGGAGAGTTGACTATCCCCCATATCGTGATTAAGGAAATGAAACGACTCGGCCTTTGATTAATTTTTTCTATTCGTAAGTGCGTAAGTTACGTAATATATTGTCTACATGCCTATTATACATGTAATGTTCAATTTGTGTTTGTTCTCTTTTTCATTTTGTTTCAGGTTCTTGGCGGTGTTTCTTGGGTTACATTAGTTGGAGAAGTTGATTATCTTTAGAGCTTGTTTCCCCCATTTTATCAAAAAAAAATCAAAAAAATAGGAAAAATAAAAAAACCAAAAAAATATTTACTTTTCATCCAACAACCCCCCCTCGTGTTTTAAGTTATAATATAAGTTTTTTACTAAGTTAAATTATAAGTGTTTTTTTATAAGTTATAAATATAAGTTTTTTACTTTATTTACTTTTATATACTTAAGTATGTGTTTTATGTATCTAAGTTATATTATAAGTTCTTTGTTTATATAATTTATATTTATAATTTTTTATAATTATTTAGTTATAAGTTTTATTATAAGTTTTATCATATGGGTAGTAGTTATTTTTTTTAGTGACAACGTGTTTGCATGCTAATTTGATTTCAAAAGTATAAACTTTCTCCGTGAGATCGACCCTTACTTGCCCTAGCTATAGTTTTTATTTGATTATATATTGGGGGTTAGCTAAGAATATTTTATAAAATTTTAATTTGTTTTAGACCGGACGACGGGTACGGTCCTCAACAGGTTTGATCCCAAGTTATGATCTGAATAGTGACTTAAGCTTGTGCACTTGTTTTAATTACTCTGATGAATATTTTTATTTAAAGTTGGAATGGATATTTTAAATAATTTGAAAATATGTGTTTGGATACCAATATGGCAATATGGTGGCAACCCGGTTCGCTGACTCATGTACTTGGATTATGCAGGTTCAAGTGTTACAATTAATATTAGTATTGTTGTTGTTGTTAATTATTATTATTGTTGTTGTTGTTGTTATTATTATTGTTGTTGTTGTTGTTGTTGTTATAAAAACTGTTGGGCTAGGCTGACCCGCACGCTTGCACATAAAGCCGGAATAGGAACACCAAATTGGCAAGCTCTCGGTTGTTACTAGCTAGGCGAGCCGATATACAAAAATTACATGCCTAACTCTATTTTTTGCAGGCGGGGTTTTGAGGGTCAAGCAGCTACCCTACCATTACGAGAACTGTTAAAAATAGAGTATAGTAGTAGAATATCTAGCGTCTCGTTGCAATGTATACCGTACAACTGGTTGTACGATGTTTCCGTACATCTGCGGTGAGTGATCATTTACGAGTAACTTAATACTAATATTCGAGCAATTAAATACTTATTTTCAAGTGAATGGATACTCATTTTCGAGTAAATAAATGCTTATTTTTCTAAAATTCAATTATGATCAACATGAGCATTGTGTTACACAAATGAATATTCAAGTGGACGTAAAGGGAATAGTAAGTACTTGTATCTGGTCCGTATACCATATAAGAAGAGAGTGTTCTACCCGAACGAAAACCAAAAGCATTTAAGCTCTTTTCTTTGTATTTTGGTACCACATAACCAATTCCATACATCATACCATGCTCTCTCTCTCTCTCTCCTCTTCTTTCTGCAAAATTTCCAAATCCCAAAACACCAAACGCTGCTGCTTTCGTTCCAATTTATAGCTAAATTCCACTGTTTTCGTTTTCTTTGATCTTCTTTCATAATCTCATCCATCCATCCATCGCCTTGATCTATAATCCCAATCCTTCTTTCTTTAATAATTAGTGTAATTAATTAATTAATTTCATACATATATGGAAAGCACAGATTCCTCGAGCGGGTCGCAGCAGCCGCAGTTGCCGCCCGGGTTCCGCTTCCACCCAACTGACGAGGAACTCGTGGTTCACTACCTCAAGAAGAAGGCGGCTTCCGTCCCCCTCCCCGTCGCCATCATCGCCGAGGTTGATCTTTACAAGTTTGATCCATGGGAGTTGCCCGGTATGTAATTAACAATTCTTATATATGAAACCCAATTATATTCCTTCCTAATTGGGATCGGGAAAATGTTGTGATTTTTCAATTCCCCCTGTTCCCTTCACTTCAATTCGATCACGCGTCCATCATAATTAATGGATCTCTAATTTGAATTGCTTTGTTTTGTGTTTCTTCTTGTTCGTTTAATGCTATATAATTAGCCAAGGCGACGTTTGGGGAGCAAGAGTGGTACTTCTTCAGTCCGAGGGACCGGAAGTACCCAAACGGTGCAAGGCCGAACCGGGCTGCGACGTCGGGCTACTGGAAGGCCACCGGAACAGACAAGCCGGTACTGACGGCCGGCGGGACACAGAAGGTGGGTGTGAAGAAGGCGCTGGTGTTTTACGGTGGGAAGCCGCCCAAAGGAGTGAAAACCAATTGGATAATGCACGAGTACAGGCTCGCTGACAACAAACCAAACAACAAGCCTCCCGGTTGTGACATTAACAACAAGAAAGGCTCTCTCAGGGTAATTAATTTAATTTAAACATATATAGATATTGGGCGTTTTATATAAATAATTTGTGTTTAATTTCTTTCTAAATTTCATTTCATATTTTAGCTGGACGATTGGGTTTTGTGTCGGATATACAAGAAAAACAATACCCAGAGGCCAATTGATCATCAGGAGAGAGATGATTTAACCGACATGTTTGGACCAATAATTCCACCCTCGATGCAAACGACAGTACTCCAATTTGCCGCCCACCCAAACAAGTTCCATCACCAAGCGCTACTGAAGGCCTCCAGCTACGGCGCCTTGCTAGAAAACGACCAGAGTATGTACGACGGGATGATCGGAAGCAACGGGTCGCCGATGGTGGCGGCTGCCGGAGGCGGCGGCGGGAATCTCCTCCCCACGAAACGTTCCCAGCAACACCTCTCCGCCATGTACTGGAACGAAGAAGACGCCTCTGTTTGTGACGGCGGGTCGTCGTCCCCACTCATGACTAAGAAGTTCCTTGCCGATGGCAGCCACCACCACCACGTGGCCGGCGGCGGCCGGAGTGACGACGACCAGAATGGGGGCTCCATCGCCACACTTCTCAGCCAGCTCCCACAAACCCCTTCTTCAATGCACCAGCAAAACGTCGTGTTGGGCAGCCTCGGCGGCGGTGGAGATCAGGGTGTCTTCCGGCCCCAGCCTTACCATGTTTCCGGCATGAATTGGTACTAAAAACCGGACCGGACCGGACCATGAAACCCAATTCAAGAAATCAACCGCTCGGATTGATCTTCGATGTGAGACTGTAAGTACGTACGTGCATAAATTAAAGGTAGGGATGATCGGAGCTAGATCCAACGATCCATCGGTGGAGAAGAAAACTTGGCCGGGAAATTCTTCAACATTTAGGTGAGCCCCCCTATATAATTATTAATCTATTTTATCATCCTGATTTTATACAGTTTTTTTTTTATTTTGATTTTTTATAAATTAATTGTTTGGTTTGGTTGGTTTACTAGCTAGCGATGCAAAGAGGTCTTGTATTAATAATATATATATACGTAGTATGTGTACACAAAAATATACAAACATGTAATTAAACATTATATACAGGCACGCTATTATATTTTGATTCCCCTGCAAATTCGAATAAAATTATTATGTATATAGATACATTTGAAATAGAAGATCAAAATTTTATTTTTGAAGAATCTAGAGATGTTCGATCAGTACTCGGTTATACATTCCATCGGTGGACTAGTGTGCATACCATTCTTGTGCGCAAAAATGTACGCAAACAGTTGCACCTTGCGGATTATGTGGTACACATTTCACCTCAAATTCACAAAATGCTAGATTGCTTGGGAGTATATACCCCTCTCTTCTATTTCTCTATTTATAAAGTAGTTTACAAAAATTAAAAATAATTTATTTAATATTTTAGAATTGGTACTAAATATGAAAACCACATGTAATTAGTGATCATTTACGAAATTTAGTCCATATGTAGTATATATATTCTTTAAGAAATACCAACATTGAAATTGAATTAGGAACAGACGGACGAGAGAGTCTAAATAACAATAAAAAAAGAAGAAATTCGCCACGTTGACACAAAGGATGACAACCATCTCTTAATTTGTACACAAACATGCGACAATCGCATGTTAACTCTATGTGTTCACAGGCGATTATTGTTTGTATGTACAAATTTAGAGATGGTTGTCATCCGTGATGTCAACCATAGTTATGGAGTTTTCATGATTCTATAACAATATGCTTCTTGTGTCTTCCCATGTCTCTCTTCATATTTGACTTTTCAGAGTTTCCAATGCAACATTTTAACTATCAATATCTCTACTTATATTTTATGAGTATATAAACGTAGATAAAATAAATATGACATTCAATACTACGTTTCAAAATAAGTTTTTTTTATTAGATTTATAATATCATTCAATATATTTTTCTTAATCAGTGGCGGGTAAAATTTAATAAAAATTGATAATATACAAAAGTCAAAGAGGGTAGGAAAGAAAGTGAGATGATGGAGTAACTATTTAGTACACTATATACTATATGTACAAATACATAACTTTTTCAAGCATTGGAAAGTCCATTTTTAAAAGTACCTATTTAGATAGATACCATGACATGCATGGAAAAAAGAAATAATGAAATGCAGCGCATGATAGCAAGTGGAGTTTCTAGTGTACCACATAGCATGGTGGTATATATAATCATCTAAAAGGAAATTAATACTAGCAATCTCGTAATTTGCTGGAAAAATGTGAGAAATGATATATAAGAAAGCCGAGACTCCTTTGTTGATAGATAACGCCATTTTGTTGCCAAACTCGTCACACGATGTTAGGTTCACAAAAATTGAACTTCTTCGTGTTAAATAAAAGTTAAAACGTTGGCCATTCGATCAGCTGATGATTTTCATATTTCTGACCAGGCCACTTACGTACTCCAAACTTCAAATTCAAAATCAAGTTTTTTATTTTAGTTTGCAATTTCCTGGATCGATCTAGACTATAATAATAATTTCAATTGTTAAATAATTTCGGGGGGGCTTGTTTGGAAAACGGCCGAAATTCAGCCGCTTTGACCAATTGAGGAGGGTTAGGACCATTAAACGGCTGGAATTGCTGTTCGGCCGTTTCTTTTATTCCTTTATTGCCCTTTATCTGGTCAAAATATGGATATGGTAGATTGCTAGCTTTGCTGGACATTGAAAAACACTAGCGGGGTGTGGTAGCGTTACTAGTTACTAGGGTGAGAGTACCGAACAGATATTAAAAATTCCTTGAAAAATAGATAAAATCAAAAATCGAAAAATATCGAATCGAATATTGAGAGTTTAGCATTTAGGAATAGCACGAGTAACTTCTCGTGCCAAAAAATTCTGAACCGAGTATATATATTAATACGGAGTATATTATAAATATAATAATCTTTTTTATATATTTCATTATATAGTAAATTTATTTTTAAAATTTGGTTCAAATTTTATTGTGTGCATATTACACTTTTATTTGAGTTCCAATTTGTTGTAAATGAATTTAAAATATTAACACACATTTGGAATATTTTTTTGTTATCATACATCCATTTTAGTTTGTGAAATACTAAACTAAGTTTTATAAGCATTTCTTGCATTTATATTTTCATATTTCCATTTTTTGTGTTTTTTAATTTAATATACTTTTGATTTTTCACAAAAAAAGGTAATGTGACATTTTAAAGTTTATATTAGGCGTGTATGTATTCATCCTAATTTGTATGTATTTTGTCAAAATTCAAATATTTTTATTATGAGATAAAATAAAGTTTAGATACCAAAATGATATACTCCCTCCGTCCCGAAAAATATGGGAGTTTTGATTTTGAAGAGAGATTTAAGAGGAGTGTATTTTGGCATTGAATTTCCAAAAATGTCTTTTGATGTGATGAGTAAAAGTATGATTTGATGGATATATTATTAGTAAAAAGGTATGATATGATAGGTAGGGTATGAAAAGTAAAAGGGTAAAAATTGACTTTTTAATAGAAATGATAAGTTTTTTTGAGACGGATGAAAAAAGAAATAAGAAAGATTTTCTGGGACGGAGAGAGTATCATTCAAAGTCCACGTATCAACAATCAAATTTACCCGGTGTTTATACGTTCGTTGCCTTTATCAAATACGGAGTAACAAATTGAGTAAGGGATGCAAGGAGTATTATTTTCGTTTGATTATTGAAAGTTAATAAATTGTTCTTACCCTTTAATTTGTACTCATATTCTATTAGTCCGTGCGTCCCAAAAATATACTCCCTCCCCGTCCCAAAATATTCACAGCATTTGCTTTTTCAGCAGTTGCGGGAACTTTTGTTTATTTCTACATTTTCATTGGTTATTTGGTAAAATAAAATATTCTTAACACCTCTTATTTCGAAGAACTTTTCATGTAGTTTTTTGATATGTAAATTTTATTTTTTATTTCTATACAAATATGTAAATAAAATGAATTGAAAAAACTTGTTATTTTTCCTCGAAAATACAAATGTGGCAAATATTTAGGGACGGAGGAAGTATCTTGTTTTAAATTTGAAGTGATTTAAGAGGAGTGTATTTTAATGTTGACGTTTCAAAAATGTTTTTGGATGTGATGGATAGATTAATAATGAAAAAGTGTGATATGATAGACAAGTTAAGAACTAATATGGGTAAAAATGATTTATAAATAAAAATAAGAATTTTTTTTGGAACGGATGAAAAAGAAAGAATAAAGGTTTTGTGCAATGGAGGGAGTATATACTATATGTAAATGTTTAGAAATTCTTTTATATAAGTGTATAGAATACATTTTTTTTTATTATATATGTTATTAAAAATTACAAGCATGTACGAAGTACTCCCTCCGTCCTAAAATATTCTTCATAGTTACTATTCACTCGGTCAAACTTTAATCACTTTCTTTACTTATTTTTTTTATTTATTTGATAAAATAATATAGTCTTGTCACATCTTATATTGTAGAACTTTTGATGTGGTTTTTAAATATATAAATTTTATGTTTTAATTTACACCTTCAATCAAATAAATTGAATTGAAAATAAAGTCGGTCAAACTTCGTAAACAGAAACGAGAAGAATATTTTAGGACGAAGGGAATACATTATAAAAATTATATTGTTCCGTATATAAACTTTACGTGTAAACATTAAAACACGTCCTTAAATATAATTTTATCTAGAACACAGCTATTTATGAACAACTAACATTGCTAAGCATCTTTTCACGAACAACTAACATAATCTGCGGGTCGAAATACCTAACTCAAACAGTTATTCAAACCAACTAACAAAAACAACTAAGAAACGGTAAAGCCATTAATTATATTGTTCAGAAAAACAAACTGAACCAGAGAAGCAAGTGGGTTAAGGGTTAGTTACCTGGTTGAACCAGCTAAACTGGGTCAATATAATGACTCGGTAAACACCTATTCTCACTAGTTGATTAGTTTTTATACCTATGTAATATTTCAAACTTATATTTAGTTAATTGAAATAAGGAAATAATAGAAAAAAATTGTACCATGCTCCCAATTAAATTATAATTATAATTATAATTTGTGAATATTACTTCATTTTTAAAGATCAAAACAATTATTTTTTAATTATAAACAATTCATTCCTTCTAAAAAGTAATTAATATTCATTTCTTTTTTCTTTGAAATATTTTTAAAGTTCATTAAATAAGGAAACATTAGAAAACAATTACTATCCAGGAGATGATATATACTTCGTTTCAAAAAATAGTTCCACCTCCAATTTTTGTGCATTCACAAAATACTTCTACGTACTCCACTTAGCTAAAGTGTCGTAAATACCCCTAAAATAACTTTTAAAAGAAAAAAAAAAAGTATTTTAAACATTATATATGAAGTTAACGTTTTTTGTGAGATGGGTAAAAAGTGAAGATGTAATTACTTTTCAAGTGGAGAGAGTAACATATTGCACGGCCTAATGAAGCTAAGAAGCTAGCGTTCCATGAGTCCAGTTGGTTGGAGTGTTGCGCTAGTAGCAAGAAGGTCATGATTTGCAGTAAATATGTTATATGTTCACATTAGGTCCTAGGTTCAGGTTATATGTTCAAATTCATTTATTTTTTCAATATAAAAAAGAGTAATTTACCTAAATAGGACTAAAACATAATGACTTTCTCATTATAGGACTGTATGTTTTTATTTCTCAATGTAGAACTATTTGTCATTATCTATTAGTCATTATTCAACTAAATGTCCAGCACCACTTGGACATTATTCTTCTCACTGGTCATTATTAAGTCCTATTTAGGGAATAAAAAAGTTTAATTCCTACATTGGGAAGAGACTTATGTTTTAGTCCTATTCAGTGCAAATTTCACTATAAAAAAATAAAAGGGGAAAAAATGACTCTAGGTCACGCGGGTTTCTCTAAGTTTTAGATGAAGGTCCTGTTTGGCATCAGCTTCAGAGATTAGCGTTAGCGTTTTGAAAAAGCTATCCGACGGTAGCCTTTAGCGTTAGCGTTTTCAGAATTAATCTGCACCGTTAAAATTTTATCCAAAACGCTAACGCTAATCGAAAACGCTGTTACCAAACGAAGCCAAAATGGTTTTTGGCATTAAACTAGACTGGATTATTTGTGTCCGAGTAGCCTGATCGGAGGATACCTGTCACACCTGACCTGCTACAACGGATGAAATTCAAACAACTATGGATGAAACATGAATGATTGATGAACATATAAGAAAATAAAATAGATTTATGGAAGATTTTTGAAATATTTGCACTAAATAACACTAAAACTTGAGAAATTTCCCTAAATAACACTTAAACTGTTTTCCCCCAAAATAGCATTTAATAATTTTCATAATGTCCAGTACGTGGTGGCGAACATTTACCTGAATAATGACTAATAGATAATGACTAAAAGTGTTACATTGAAAAAAAACACATGTGATGCTATATATTTAGGAAAAATCATTATGTTTTAATACTATTTACCTAAATTCCCCTTTCTCATGTGTAACAAAATCTATCACGTGACTCATCTATATATTTGTATAGAAAAAATAATATGGTGTTTAAAAAAGTTATGTTTGTGTCATTTGAGATAAAAAACCAATTTAGTGTTTCATAGTTTTACACTTTTACTTCAACTCCAATACTTTTTTACACATAAATCGATATTATTACTTTAACTCCAATAATAATAATAATAATAATTAGAATAACAACGACAACAACAACAATGATAATAATAGTAATAAGAAAGAACAATTATGTATGGTAAAATATGACATGTTAACAAGCTAATTAAGAGATTAACCTCATAATGTGCTGACTTTGAGGCCGAAAACTTCGCTGTCATTATGGAATCGCGCATTATCTTATTAAGGGCCACTAATATTTAATTTCACTATCCATCGTTAATTGCATGCCATATAAAGTAAAGATGACAAAACAGCTTTAACAGGATTTCACTTCACTAGGCTTAATTTGGGAAAAGGGATTATGCAAGGGTGGGAAAAATGTCACTATTATATCTTCTTTGATAGACAACCAAAGTTGCACTATTAAGAGGGCCGGGCCGGGCCGGGTTTTGAATTGAACTTGTGGCACATCTTTCCGTCCATTGTATTATGTATGTGTATGTGTCTCGATCGGCATCGAATCATTCTATCTTCGATCACTTGCGGAAAAACGGTTTAATTAATTAATTAATTACATCGACCCATATTACAAATTGTCGTCGTGACGTGTTTGTTGGCCGTCGCTTTCATTTCTGCGCGCGCGCTAGCTGATTACATGGTACATAGGGTGCGCCCTCATCTTTAGTTTCAAAATATGGCCAAATAATTCTAATGTCCCATGTAATTTGTAAAATTGGTATCAATATTACTATGTTTTCAAAACTTATTTATAAAGTCTTCGCTGTTTAAAAACGTATCCACACCCATCTGATTATTTTGTGGTTATTCTCTGGTGAAGAAGAGATATTGATGTCTATTTTCTAAACTATATGAGGTACTTGTACGTTCTCATTTCATATTTTCGTTTATTCCTTTTTATCTCTTTTTTTCTATTTGTTTCCTTTTCCAATAAAAGTTTTTTTAAGTTTATTTTCTTAAAACAATTTTTAAAAAAATTAAAAATTCTTTGTGTTTACAATAAAAATAAAAAAAATCAACATATACTCCATCTATCTAAAGTTAAATATTTGCCACTTTTTTTTTTTAGAATAAATTTTTTTCAACATGGTCCTTGACATTTCTTGCAACGTCCTATTCTTCCTTTCAACGACTCCATTTTGTTGAGGTGTTCTAGGAGCCGAAAAGTTGTGAGAAATGTTAAATATATACTATATTTATGTTAATATATATTCTATATTTATTGTACACATATTGTTTCCTATTGTAGAATCCTACCATAATCAGGATTAGGAATAACTTGTGTATATAAACACATGTGCTCCCACATTATTGGTCAAGGAAAAATCATAATTCTTCATGGTATCAGAGCCTTAATTTTCACAAAACCCTAACCCTACCTCCTCTCCCTCTCTCTCGGTGTGCCCTCCTCCAGCCGCACAGCTGCCGCTGCCTTTCTCTCTCGGCGGTCTGTCCTCAGCAAGCGCACAGCCCCACATCGGCGAACCCCCCCTTTCTCCCTCGATATGGCTTCCTCCGAAAAAAATACAGAAAATTCAACCTCCTCCTCCTTCTCCTCCAATCCCCATCATCTCGCTTTCACCACAATCTCCAACGTCAAGCTTCATGTCCCGATCCAACTGAGCTTCTCTCAGCCTAATTACAAGAAGTGGAGCCGACTTTTTCTTCTCCTGGTGCGACAGTTTACACTCCACGGCTTTCTCTCGGGATCTTCATCTCCCTCCTCTGCCGATGATGATGAATGGTACCAGCTTGACGCCCTGCTTCAAGGGTGGATTCTCTCTACTACTAGTATTCCTACCCGTGCAATGCACGGGTTCGGACGAATATCTTGTCGATTCTGAATTTATTCAATGCAATATTTTTTTTCTAGAATAAAGGAAAAATATACCTCATGCATGATTTATAATAACACAGATGTTAGAGTGCATCCCACATCGGAAGTCCAAGAGTAAAATAATCGGTATATAAGCTTTTGAGTTGAACTAACTAGTCAATTAGATTCAATCTTTTAATGTGGTTCACCCCAAGTATCTTATTGCCAATCCAGTTGTCCATATCCCATCCTAAATTCTATCATGGTATCGGAGCAGGTTTTGGCCCACCTCGTTTGTCAAGGTGTCCGTCTAGACGTTCATTCCTAGTGGCCCATTAGTCTTTAGCCCAGTTGTCCGTATGGAGTATGTATCCAACGGCATGTGGCCTGTTTAACATGATTGCTCATATGGAAGTCCGTACCCAGTAGCTCGTGGTCCTTTAGGTGTTGGCATTGAAAAAAAATCAAGGGAATGGGAGTTCATTTGCAAGTGGTCAACCGGATAGATTCAAAATGGCCCGGTTGTCCACTTGAGGGGGAGTGTTAGAGTGCATCCCACATCGGAAGTCCAATAGTAAAATAATCGGTATATAAGCTGTTGAGTTGAACTAACTAATTGATTGGATTCAATCTTTTAATGTGGTTCACCCTAAGTATCTTATTACCCAATCCAGTTGTCCATACCCCATCCTAAATTCTATCAACAGAAAAGAAAGGCAAAGTAAAAAGAATAATATTTGAGGAATTGAATCTACACACAACAAAGTTTAATTTAATACCAAATTTTTTGAAAGATTTTAGGGTATACAACATTTTTTGTATGGCTGCAAGGATTTTCATTGTCATCTATGACTAATATTTTTAATCATGTCTTTGTCTTCACTCGCGAAACAGCAACATAAAGCTGACCATGAGTGAACACTGACTTGGTTAAAAATAATCCAATAAATGACAATGTTTGACCTTGACTTTTGTTAATAGTCATAGCAAAACATAAGACTATTGAAAATTGTCTTCTATGGATACTTTAAATCTGCATGCAAGATTTTCGAAAATGCAACCAACCTAATTCAATAAAGTGGTATTTTTGTCACAACTGGTTTCAGTGACAGTCGTCCTTGCTTGGAAATTTAGGCGAAAGTCATGTCGTGAAGTGCGATAATATCCACTGCTATTACCGACGCCGAAGTAAGCAAATACATATACCGATCCTTCCTTTATTTTCTTCTCAAAAGTTCCCACCAGAGTTTTTCTTACAGTGGCATGGATAGTAGTTTCCTACAAAATATCAAGGAAACATGAATAGTTATGGGGATTTCATATGCTTGAAGTCTTAGGCAGTTGAGAATCTTCAAGGACTATAAAAAATAATGAACACAAAAAAACATGCTAAAAAAATAGCAGACTATAAATTTGAAAATAAGGACATGTTGAAGTGTTCAATACCTTTATCAATAAATCATTTATTCATTGAGATGAAAAAAGAAGCTTCAACGTTTATTTATGGAAAAGCTTCAATACTTTAATAAAAAACATTTACTCCGTATTTATATAAAGATAAGGAAGAGGATATAAAAAACAATTTGAGGAGATGATGAGGAGAAGTGGAGAACAAAAAGGTCGAGATCCATAGGAGATTTGTTAGCTTTAAAATCACAGAGCAGGCCGTCAATCTACACATCAATGTCGCTTGAATTCTTATTCTGTGTGTTGATATTGATTTGGGTGATTATTTGTATTTATATTTCTTATCATTTCAGGTATTAGTTATGAAAAGTAAACAGACTATAGTGTGATTTGTTTTTTCAATACTTAAGGACTGGAGAAACTTCAAGAGACTATAAAAATTAAACTCCACACCATATATATGTTCAAAAATAGGAGGCTATAAATCTGAAATTAAGGTCTGAAAAATAAGGATAGACTCAAGTCGTCAATACTTTAATAAAAAATATGTTTTTATGGTGCTGAAAATAGAAGATTCAAGGACATCAGACTTATTACACTTTAAGAACGACAGAGTTTTATTACATAAATTATAAGAATTCCTTCTTAGGCACTATTAAAACAATTTAGTCTCATGGTTTTAGGCACTGGAGAAACTTCAACATGAATAGGCACTAAAAAAACTAAACAGACTATAGTGTGTTTTGTTTTTTAATACTTAGAATACTATAGTGTGTTTTGTTTTTTCAATACTCTGAATCTGAAGAAACTTCAAGAGACTAAAAACTAAACTCCACACCATAAAATATGTGCAAAAATAGCAGACTATAAATCTGAAAATTAGGACAGGCTCAACTCTTCAGTACTTCAATGAAAAAATTATTTTTTATGGTGCTGAAAATAGAAGCTTCAAGGAAAACAGACTCATTATACTTTAAGAACAGCAGAGTTATCATTCTTCATTTATTTATTCAATATGGGCAATTGAAGAATTTTGGTTTTTTATACAGATCAGTATAATTGTGTTTTAAAAGTAAAAGCAAAATAATTATGATAAGAAAGAAGAACAAATTTCGCAGAGGCTAATCATCATAAGAAGGAAAGAAGGCCAATCATCCAAAAAACAATTATGATTTTTTAAGAAAAAGGAAAGTTACATATTCTTGGTACCGATCGTTGGAATTTCCGTGAAAAAGGAAAGAGATTAATTCAAATCACATATTCTCTGAAATCTCGCGGTGGAGCCATTCGAAGATGAATATCGTAGGGAGGTGCAATCGAAGAAAAGTGCCGCTGATGTCTCGCTTCATTCAGACGTGCGGATGAATTCCACACAAAGTAGCCCAAATAAAAGAAGCCCAAAGTAATGAATCATTATCCAACCCGTTTGAAATATTGAGTAACTCCAATATGATGATATGGCTTATGAAGTGTAAAAAAAATCCTCGTCAGCATGACAAATGTCAAAATTCTGGGAGTTAAACTCCCAAATATAATATATAAAGGATTTCTAACGAAGTCTCAGATCTGGTCATCTCCACCACCTCCACCGCTGCTGAATTATGGCGGGTTATTCATGCACTTTTTCATGACAACAAGCATGCTCGGGCAATGCAACTCGAGCACCAATTCCGAACCACTGTCAAGGGTACGATGACCATGGCTACATACTGTCAAACCCTGCGGAACATTGCTGATTGGTTGGATGACGTCGACGCCCCGGTCTCTGAGTCTCAACTTGTGCTCCAAATGCTTCGGGGGTTACCCGAAGATCTTCAGGCTCAGACATCGTTCCTACAATTCCAACAACCGCTGCCCAACTTTCTTCAGACCTGATCCGCCCTCCTGTTCCTAGATCGGCAACGGCAAAGCATCGCGGACGACGCCGGGACGGCCCTCCTGGCCGGCAGACCCGGCGGCCCTCCTTCCGGCACCGGCAGTGGCGGCTTCGGGCGTGGTAGTGGAGCGCCTGGCAGCGGGCACAGCGGCGGCAGTGGTGGACGCAGACAGAAGGGGCGCAACTACGATCGTGGTGGAGGCAGCCGTGGACATGGACGAGGACGAAACTCTGGCTCGCAATGACACCCGCATGACGGCTACATACCTTGGAACAACTCACCGCAACCCAACCCCGGCTCGGGTCTCCTCAGCCCGCGCCCACCCAACCCTACCCATCCAAATGCCCATGCCTACTACACCTACAACCCTAACTCTAACCCCCTACCCCACCCCTACGGCCAAACAGCCTACCCAGCCCTAACCCTACCCCCTTACCCGACAGCCCCCCCTACCAATCACCCTACCCGCAAACCCCACCCCCATCCGCAGGCTCCCAACCTCACCCCCACAGTCCTAGCACACCAATTCGATACCATGACCCTACGGGAACCCACATGGTATTTTGACACGGGAGCCACGCACCACATCGCCTCCGATCCAGGTACAATTTCTCATGGCTATTATCAATCATTACATTCTCCATTACATATTATTGTTGGCAATGGTTCTAAGGTAAGCACTACGGCGGTGGGTACCCACACCCTCCCCTCTCCCTTAATAACGTCCTTATCTCCCCGCATATAATCCATAACCTTATTTCTGTTCGCCAGTTTACGCATGATAATAATTGCTCTATTGAATTTGATGCACATGGTTTTTCNCACCCCCACAGTCCTAGCACACCAATTCGATACCATGACCCTACGGGAACCCACATGGTATTTTGACACGGGAGCCACGCACCACATCGCCTCCGATCCAGGTACAATTTCTCATGGCTATTATCAATCATTACATTCTCCATTACATATTATTGTTGGCAATGGTTCTAAGGTAAGCACTACGGCGGTGGGTACCCACACCCTCCCCTCTCCCTTAATAACGTCCTTATCTCCCCGCATATAATCCATAACCTTATTTCTGTTCGCCAGTTTACGCATGATAATAATTGCTCTATTGAATTTGATGCACATGGTTTTTCTGTGAAGGATCTTCGGACGGGAACCGTGATGCATCGGTCAATAACTCCGGCCCACTCTACCCCTAGCTCCCTGCGCCCCCAGCTCAGGTCCACAGTGCGTCCGTTGACATCCACACATGGCATCGGCGTCTTGGACATCCTAGCCCGGCGGTTCTTCGTGGTGTCTCCAGCGTCTCTAGTCTTTTTAAATTTTTTCCAAATAATAATTTATGTCATGCTTGTCAGTTGGGAAAACATGTTCGTCTCTCATTTTCTCCTTCATGTCGTATTTCTTCTTTCCCTTTTGAATTACTACATACTGATTTATGGCAATCCTCCGTCCCCAGTATTACTGGTTTCAAACACTACATGTTATTATTAGATGACTTTTCACATTATCTTTGGGTTTTTCCCTTAAAACAAAAATCTGATGTTTTTTACTCACCTCCCTACTTTTATTAACTATGTCAAAAATCATTTTAACACAACCATTAAAACTGTTCAATGTGACAATGACACCGAATATCGCAACTCCCCCCTCCGTTCTGTTTTTAACTCCTTAGGCATTCTTTTTCATTTTTCTTGTCCACACACAAGCCAACAAAATGGCCGTGCCGAGCGGACCATCTGTACCATAAATAATACCATCCGAACCCTTCTTTTCCAAGCCCACCTTCCCCCAGAATTTTGGGTTGAGGCACTCCATATGACCGCCCACCTATTTAATCTCCTCCCGACCACCACCCTCAATAACCAAATTCCCCACACCATTCTCTTCAGCACTCCACCCGCCTACACCCACCTTCGAGTTTTCGGCTGTCTGTGCTACCCAAACACCTCCGCCACCGCCCCACATAAACTTGCCCCACGCTCGGCACGGTGCATTTTCCTTGGCTATCCCACCCATCAACGCGGATACCGCTACTTAGATCTTCAAACTAACAAAATAATCGTCTCGCGTCATGTCATTATTGATGAAAATATTTTTCCTTACGAACATCACCCTTCCGCCGACGATTTTAACTTCCTTGACACCACGGAGGATGCCCCACCCCACCCCCTCCCCAC